ACTTTGACGACCCTAACGATGAGCAGGCAGAGATGGCTGATTCCCAATGCTGCTGTCGCAGGTGGTGGGAGCCCCAGCTTAGCTAAGCCTTCCCCATCGCTGCTCATCTCCCGCACAGGTGGCCCCATTTTCCAAGTGAGGAAACTGAGGCATACGGAGCAAGAGTCTGGCAGAGAGCATAGGTTGTGGGGACAGAGCTGGGGTCAGGACCAGGTGATCAGCTGCAGTGTGAGTGTCCACCTGGGCCCTGCTGCTGACCCCCGGCTTCCAGGCACGGCTCTGCTCCTCTGCACCCCTTCCCGGTCTGGTGTCAGGAGCTGCGCGCACGCACACACACACACACACACACACACACACTCATGCTTCATTATATGCACGTAAGCACCCTCTCTCATTCTCACACACTCCCCACGCATTTGTTCACTCCCACACACACGCATGCACCTGCAGGCCAGAGTGTGCGCAACCCTAGCCTGGCCCGACCTCGACACACGTGGGGGTTCCCTGCAAGGATCTGACGAAAGCCCTGGGGTGCTGGGGAAGGGGCACCCCCTACTGGCCTCGCTGAGCGGCAGGCTGCATCTTTGGGCTGGGTTCTCGCCCCGAGGGCGGGAGTCCCTGAGGAGTTCCTGGCTGTAGCTTGCAGCCAGGAGGGCCCCGAGCATCCGGGCAGTGCGGGGCATCTTCCTTCAGGGCCAGGACGGGTGCAGTGTCCACCTGCAGTCCCGCCCGGCCCCTCCCACAAGCCTGCGTCGGTGCCGCTCCCCCCCCCCCCGTCCTAAGTCACACTGCGCATGTACCTACTGGCCTTCACTTCCTCATCCCAGGCTGGAGTAACAAGGGTCCCTAAGAGCTAAGTCAGGACAGGGGAAAGACTGGACTACAGAGCTTGCCACTGACTTTCCCTACTGGGACACCCACCATGTTAGGGAGCTGGGCCAGGACTGGATGTTAGAGCCAGGGAGAACCGAGTCCGAGTTTCTCATTTTACATACGAAGCCACTGGGGCTCAGAGAGGTTACGAAATTTACCCTAAACTGCACAGCCAGATACCTGTTAGTAGGCCTCTCACTTAACAGATCTTTTCAAAGCTCAAGTTGATCGCAGGCACACTGGGGGCCAGGGATGGGGGTGGATGTGCGACCCATGCCGTCCAATTAGAGCCTCCCTGAATCTCCCGAGAGCTTACTGTTCCCAGCTCTGGCTTTAGGAGCCTACCTGGCTTGCTTGGGTTCCCGAAGGTCACAGGCCTGTGGTTCAGGCAGACCAGCCAGATCCCAAAGCTGCCCCTCCAGGCTTCTCTCCCTTTCATAAAACATCTGCCTGGGAGGAAAGCTGAGTCTCGAGGTCCTCACCAGGTCCTTCCTGACCCATTCCTGCTGCCGGAAGCAAGGGAACCTCTGTCTACACCTGGCACTCTTCTAGGCTGGATCCCACAGCCCAGCTTGGAGCTCAGAGATGCCTTGGGGGCACTGGAGATCTAACCCAAGGCCTTTGTACTGAGGTCCCTCTGCAGCCCTGCTTTATTTTAAAATTGTATGACAGAGTCTTGCTAAGTCACTGAGTTGTCCAGGCTGGGCTCAAAGATGTGATCCTCCTGCCTCAGCCTCCCAGAATGCTGGGATTGCAGGTGAGCACGCCTCACCCGGCTGAGCTCCATGATTTCGATTTGCATGCATTTGCTCTCTTAAATGAGCATCTACTATGCTGGGCCCTGTTCTAGGCTCAAGGATACAACAGTGAACACAACTGGCAAAATCCTCGTCCTCCTGGAGCTGACCTTTGGCAGGGCAGATCCACAGAGAGGAAGTAATCAAACACATGTCATCACACCAGGTCCTTACAAACACAGTGGGGAGAAACAAACCTAGGGTAAGAGGAATGGAAGAAATGTTCTGGGATCGTATTTTAGACAGAGTGGTCACAGGGAGCTTCCCAAAGGAGGTGGCAGATGAGCAGAGACTTGATAATGCCCCGTGGTCGGATTGTGGAAGGAGCCTGGAGCGTCTGGAAGCTCGGGGAGGTTCTGAGGCTGCACCTTTGAGGAGGAGCGTGGGACCTGCTCTGTAAACTCGCGGTAATGGGCCTCGTGGGATCTTGGGTTTCCCCCTCCTTCAAAGGGGAAGCTGGTATCGTGCAATGATTTCTCTAACGTGGGGCTGCTGCTACCCTGCTCACCCGGGCAGAGGTCAGGACCTAGCCCCCTGAAGCCAGCAGAAGGCTCGGTTCTCCCTGCAGAACGACTTGCAAGGGCCGGTGGAGGCAGAGACAGTGACTTACCCAGGCCCTGGCAGGGACCCGGCCGCTGAATGTGAGGTCTGCGGGCGCTGCAAACCCACACAGTGCCCGCGGCCAGCGCCCCATCCCTCCGGCGACACGGGTCAGGCCAGGCGGGCCGCGGCCGGTAACAGTGTGCGGGCTCGGAGATGGATGCGCGGCGGGCTCGCTGGCGCCCCCTCCTGGCCGTCACCGTCCTAGGCGCCGGCAGTTTGCGATGCGGCCGCGGGAGCAGCTGTAACCCAATCCCGGCCCAGGGCTCTGACCTCATCTGAGGAGGCCGGGAAGGGAAACACTTGTGGGCCCGCCGGCCGCAGACACCAGAGGGAAGTCCCGCGCGTGACATCACTTCGCCGGTGTCCCTGACGGGAGGTCGTGGAGGACAACGGAGCCGCGCTTCCCGCCTCGGCCCGGGGCGCAGACAGCCCTGCGGCAGTGGAGAGGGGCAGGGTGGGGCTCGCCCCAGACGGAGCTCGACCACCCCTGCAGATGCCTGAGCCAGTAGAGGCACCTCGGCTGAACGACCTGGGCCCTGGCGAGCATCATAGAAGACTTGGGCCAAGAAACGCCCATAAGCCTTTCCAGACCCCCGTGAGAGCACAGTACGCCCACTCTGCCATGCACACGTGGGCACACGCGGGCACACGCGCGCGTGCACACACAGAGCCAGCCTGAAACCTGGGAACCGCCGCACGGCTTTTCAGTACAAGCTTGGAGCTATACGGGTGAAGATGGGGCAAGTGTGCAGCAGGTCGGAACCTGGCTGTGCACCAGACACCCGAGTTCGAATCCTGCCTCTGCCCCTTTCAATCTGGGTGTTGCTGTTTCTCGTGCATCTGAGCCTCGGCTTCTCTCCTCCTGGAACAAGGAGACAGCAGCGTTCACCTTTCACGTGAGCCTCTGGGACTGAACAAGGCCAAATGTGTAGCGGGTTCACTGCTGTCCCAAAGTTGCGCCTCCTGCACATCAGCTGACTCTCAGAAGGCTTCAAGCCACTCCTACCTCTCCTGTCCTCTCTCCCTTCAGAACTCTGAGTTCTCGTCCCATTGGCCCCTCATCCTGCCTCGTAGCCTGACTGTACTCTAAGGTGCTATTTCTCACTAACGTGTTACTGACTGTGATGGACCTGGGTCACTGTGCCCGAGCCACACCCTTCTCCAGTCTGATAAAGTGGACTGGTTTCCCTCCCTCTGGGGGCCGCCTCCCCACTCAGACTGTGTGGCCTTGGGGCGCCAGCCTCAACCCCTCCTGGTGACCAGAGCTGGCTGATCATAGGGTCACGTTGCCCCAGGCCCAGGAGAGAAAGGACGCTCAGCACATCAGAGCCGTCGAGGACCCCAGGAGCTGTGCAGGGGCAGCCAGGAGCCAGGAGCCCTCTCCCTCCCGCACCTGATCCTGTGAGAATTGGTCCCCCCAGTCTGGGTCTGAGAACTGGGCTGGTGGAGCTGAAGGCGGAACTGGGGACACGGGAGAGCGGAGAGAGACCTTCACTGGGCCCCAAAACAAAGCCAGGAAACCAAATCCCAAGGACGGACCCCTCGCACCGGCCACTGTAAGTTCCTCGTGCCCCGAGTGCAAAAGACCCTGACAAAGCAGAGTCACACTGCCAGACTTCTGCACTCCCCGGGAAGACGTGGGCACTTTGGTGGAACCCACCCAAGGAGCACATCTGTCAGCCCTGGACCTCATGCCAGGCTGTGACCCTTCTTCGGCAGTGATCAGCAGCTGGCCACACACCCGCTGCCCGCATCCCTTCTCCACTCTGCCGTCATTCCTCCGCTCTGCCCAGCAGAACCCTAAAAACATACTCGGGTCATGCTACTTCCCTCCTTCCTCCTACTTGAGGCTGATGAGACAGGGAAACTCAGTGCCTGGGACCTCCCCACCAAACGCCCTCAGCCCGCACTTCGGGCTCACAGCCTACAGCTGCTCCTTAGATTCACCACGCTCCGCGCTGCCCCAGGGCCTTTGCCTGAGCTGTGCCCTCTGCCTGGAATGTGCTCTCCACCCATGTTCCTTGCCCTGCTGATGCCTCATCATCTTTGAAGGCACAGCTTAAATGTCACTTCCCCTGAGGGCTGCTCTGGTTACTGTGGCTGCGTAACACATTACCCCAAATACCAGAAGCATGAAGCGACCGTTCTTCTGCTCTCTGGTTCCGTGGGGCGGGAGGTTGGAAAGGACTCAGTGGGGACAGCTTGTCTCTGCCCCAGGATGTCTGGGGCCTCGGGCGGAGGCCAGGGCTGGAACCACGGCCAGGAAGGCTGGTGCATCTCAGGTCTGGCTGGCGACACCAGCCAGCAGCAGCGCCATAGCACCACCCGAGGGGGCATCACATGGCTCCCCAAGGTGCAGAGCCTGGGGTTCCACCATGCACGTCCCACGAGAGATGAGCCAGACAGAAGCAACTCAGCCAGGCGGGGAAGTCACACACCGCCCTGCACCACGTTCTGGCCATTGGACGCCACTCACTAAGACCCGACCACATCCAAGGGAGTGGATGCAGAGCCGCCTCTCTGTGGGAGCACTCAGTGTCATGGTGTAAGAGCTCCACGGACCGGAGAGGTCGGCGAGGCTGACCTTGGAAATGCCATCTGTCACCAGGGTCCTTCTGGTCCCTCAGGGATGACACCACCTCACAGGGACAGAGTTTCTCCCTCTCAGGACACTAGCGCACTTCAGGAAGTGGGGGCGTCCATCCCGATTCAGCTCTGCACACTCACCCGGATGGCCAGGGATCTTCTCCTTCTGCCCTCTGTCCTTCTCGCTCTCTCCTGCCCCGTCCCTGTGTGGCCTGGGGAAATGAAGGGACATAGTCATCGAAAGGCAGCCAGGGAAAGCTCATGTCTGTCCCCAAACCCGACTGGCAGGCCCTGGTGGGGGGCGGAGGAGGCTGCCCCCCAACACCCATTCTTGTCCTCCTCTCCCAGAAGCGGGGCCCCTCATTCTGACCTGCAGGGCACCTGGCTCAGCTAAGACCACAGTGTCCGGCCAGCAGGGGACGGGGACTCAGAGCCACCAGGCCCAGGTTCTGCTGGGAGCCTGAGCCCTAAGGGGGAGGGACCCTTCCTCTCCCCCCGTAGACAGAGTCCAGCTCTCACCTGGGCCCCGTGAGAGCCCATCTGGGACCCTGAGCCCCTCTCCGCCCTGGCTCCTGGACCTGGGCCCTGAGTTCAGGGGGTGTTGCCTTAAATGCACGGGCCATGGTGCTCTTGCAGCAGCAATGGAAGATGAATCCAGATCCCACCTGCCACAACCCGGGGTCGGGGCTCCTTCCTCAGGCTCCTTAGCAGTGAGGCAGGCACAGGCAACGAGCAGGGCCCGGGGTTGTGAGATCAGTAATTAGGGTAGAGAGGAAGCCAGCGCCGGCGCATGCTCCGTACAGCCCCAAGAGCCGCTCCCGACCCCAGCACCCAGACCCGAAGGCTGAGCAGGTGCTGCTCTCGCTCCCCGGCCCCCACAGGCGAGGGGGGTGGGCGGGGCTCTCAGCGGACCTCGCAGGGCAGCTTCCCCTGTGCGCCGGGGCATCTGGCTGCACCCCTGGCCTCTACCCACCGGATGCCAGCAGCACCCCTAAATTGAACACGGGCAAGTGACCACCGGGGTCACACCTGGCTGCGAGCCTCTAGCCCGCAGCTTGCTTTGCGGTTGTTCTTCCCGACGTGTTGGGGCCCCGCCAGCGAAGCGGCATTTTCCGGTCAACGCACCTGCCGCTGGGCAACGGGAGTTGCGCTGCGTCCACCCGTGCCCATCCCGTGTGCCGGGGTGGGGGCCACAGGCGGGGTCCCTGCCGAAGACCAGAGTCGCCCTTCCTCAAGGGCCTCACAGGGGAGCCCGTGTCACCTCCCCGCTTGGCAGATAAAGAAACTGAGGCCCAGAAAGGTGCCGCGAAGGCTCCGGGCGGTGCCTCCACCTCAGGCTGAAGCCGGGTCTTGTCGCAGATGCCCTTCCAGACCCAGCCAGGTCGCCAGGGAGCCAGGGCCCTGCCACGCGTGGCGCGTTCCCGGATTCCCATCAGGAAGCACTTCACGGAGAGAGAATAACACGCTTCCCAGAAAAGCAGGCACCTCACTACCAGCTCTGTCTCAGTCTGCTTTGCCGCGTAAGTTACTTCATAGGTTTTTACTGAAGAAATAAAAAGCACACGTGTGGAAAAATGCACACATCATAAACGACTGGCCCAATGACTTCTCACAAAGTGGAGCCAGCACCTGGATTAAGAACCCAGGTTAGCTGAGCAGGGTGGCCCACACCTGTAATCCCAGCTCTCTGGAGGCGGAGGCAGGCAGATCAAGAGTAAGAGGCCAGGTAGGGCTACTTATCTCCATTCTGTCTCAAAATAAAAATAAAAATGAGGGCCAGGGATGTAGTTCAGTGGTGGGGTGCTTGGTCAGCATTTGTGAGGCCTTGGGTTCAAGCTCCAAGACAGGAGGGAAAAAAAGAGGTGGTGGGGGGAGCTCAGCTAATCAAGCCCCTGAGAGCCCCTCAGGTGCCATGCTGATTTCTTAAGCGACAGCGTGACAGGTGGAGCTGGAGCCCGGGAACAAACTCCTGACCCCGTGCCTCTCCCTCCAACCCCAGGGTGCCAGGACCCTAAACCTGCTGCTTGTCACTGCCCTGGTCACCTATCACAGGCACTCACAGCCAGGCAATGACCACGGCTGCTTTTCATGCAAAACCCCTCCGTGATTAGGATGCCACGCGCTTCCCCTTCTACAGCGCAGATTGGCTGTGTTAACCGGTGGGGCCATGGATTGCGCTGTCACCGGGCAGTTCTGCTCCTCCTGCTGATGAGCAGCGCGATGTTTTCCTGCACTTCTGTTACACACGAGAGAGTCTTCTTGCACACGGCTCTGTGCATTGGGGTGGGAGTTTCTCCAGGGAGTACACAGGAGGGGAGGAACTGGGCCTCCAGGATTGTGTGTGATTTTGGCCTCCACAGGGGTTGTATCAGACTCATAGGAATTTCAAACTGGGAGCTCATCTGTAACCCTAAAATTAATTTATTGGAGACAAGGTCTCTCTGTGTCAAGGTTGTCTTTGAACTCACTATGTAGCCCAGGCTGGTCTTGAACTCACAACAATCAGCCCTGATAAGGTGTTAGAACCAAGATGTTTCCAGAGCTAAACAGAAGCTGATTTATGCAAAAATCTAAGATTGCCACAGGTCAATTAGGGCTCAGACAGGTTGGAGGACAAACATTCTCTAATCAATTCCACCCCACCCCTTCCCAACTTTGTGAAAGAATACACATCCGTAACAGTCAGAGCACAGGAGGCGCCTGGCCCCCTGTATGGCTGTGGCCAAAGAAATCAGCAGAGGTCCTCAGATGTCACTTCCGATGTCAGAGGTATCCACACTTCACCCGGGCCCCGTACATCCCCAGGTTAAGAAGTCTCGGTTGAGGTTGTCTGAGCATAAAGAATGCAGTCCGTGGCCGATGCAGCGGCTCCCTTTGGGATGCGTCCACAGCGGAAGTCCAGTCTCTAAGAGAGGCGCATGCGAGTTCAGTTTCCATCCTGATGTTATCGGGAAATGACCCTTCATTCAAAAGGGCCAAGCTGGCGGGGGTGTGGGAGGGTCGAGCTCACCTCTGTAAGGCGCGCGGAGGGGCTGGTGGCCGGTGACGCACAACCGCGTGGGCCTTGGGCCTGGTGCCTCTGCCCACGGATCTTGCGGGACGCAGCTCCCTCCGCTCAGCGGCCACAAGAGGGCGCGCGCGCCTTTTCTACGCGGGTCGCGGGGACTTTCCCGCTCCACTTCCAGCAGGACTCTCACCGGCGAGTGGCGAGTGCCTGGGCCCGGGGTTTCTTGCCCCAGCCCGAAGAGCCGATGATCGTTAATTCTTGCCCTTAGGATCCTAATCTGTTACGGCAGTGGACCTGCCCTGCCGTGGGCAGCAGCCCTCTTTTCGCCTCTCCTCCGCACACCACACAACGACCTGTTCCCCTAAACAGCGTCTACCCAGTGTTCCCGCAGTAAGACTGACCTCACTCTGAAGCTCAAACACAAAACAGTGGCCACCTAGCTCAGGGTGACCTTCCACTTGCAGGGGCCTCTGCAACGGTAGAGAAACGATGGAATTTGCAGAGGTGCACTGGCATTATTCAGATTCATACTCTGAGGCCAGGTGTGGCGGTGCACACCCAGGAGGCTGAGGCAGGAGGATTCCAAGTTTGAGGCCAGCCTGGACTGCACAACCAGACCATCTCAAAAGCAACTCATATGCCAAACACGATACTAGTCAGCTCCTCAGGTTGGACAGAACCGGCACCACGCAAATTCTACGTTGCTGATGCATGGACTGGAGAGTCTTGATATTTAAGAAACAGATAATAAAAGATAGCTTCTAAGGAAACTGTGCTTAAAACAGGGATCAGAATTTCTTAGCAACAACAATAACAAATGTTATGCTTTATTTTGAAACAAGCAACACAAAATTAAGAAAGCCATTTAAAATTGAAGTTATAATTAAAAGTTATGTACTAAATTCCTAAACACAGGATAAATGAATTCAGTATGGAATTGATTATTTTTTGGAGTGTTTTCACCACAAGATTTTTTTTTTTTTTTTGGTACCAGGGACCGAACTCGGGTCCTTCCACTTGTGAGGCAGGTGGTGGAACCACTGAGCTAAATCCCCGGCCCTCACCACAAGATTTTTGAAAGCACAACACAAACATCCTCAAGATTTGACTTTTTGGGGAAGTAGGAGGATTGCAAGTTCAAGGCCGGCCTGGGCAATTTAGCAAGACCTTGTCTTGAAAAATTTTTAAAGGCCAGGGTGTAGCTGAGGAGTAGAGCAATCGCCTAGCATGTACAAAGCCCTGAACTCAATCCCTGGGGCCAGAAAAAAATTGTGCTTAAACTTTAAATCATATTATGAGGTGAGTTATTTCAAGGCTAGATCAAGTTTACTAAAGGACACCCTGAGCCTTTAGCAGCTCTTGTTTGAAGCATTTAATGTCCTCATTATCTTTATTAAATGTCTCTCCTTTGACATTTTTGTTGAGACAGGGTCTTGCTTTGTAATCCCTGCTAGATTTTCTTCTTTAATTTTTAATTGGACCAATTCCACTAGCTTGTCAAATGCTTGCCAAAGGCTCTAGATAGAAATGGAATGGTTTTTAAATATCATCAATTTCATGAAGTTCTACATTTTTGGCAGCATGTCCACTTTCACTTTGTAATTGGTACAGCACTGTGTGGTGCTTCCAACACCCAACATTCAGGAACACACTAGCAAATTTCAATCATGATAGGCAGCCAGTATGAAACAGGAGGACTGTTCTATTAGGAGCTAATTTATACATGTTCGGTCTAGCCGTGAGTATGCTTCTAGGACAGTGACTTCTCCATGCAGCCTTGTTCCCGAGGAAAATTTGGATAACATGTATGCAAAAACAAGGAAAGTAGATGTGATAGATGGATTCTCAGCAATTACTTTGGACTATGAGGGAAAAGACTATATTCAAGGGACAGTGAGCAGAAGCTAGGGCTATGTGTGCATCTACTTTCCATAGCTACAATAAAATACCTGAGGCTGCATACTTTAAAAAGAGGAAAGGTTATTTGGCTCACAGTTTTAGAACATGACAAGTCACAGAGCAATTCTGGGGCTGAATAAAGCTTCCTTTAACACATTCATGACAGGGCTGTGTATGTGTGACTGTATCATTGGGTGGCTTGTACTACCCAATGGGAGACCGACAGATCTGTCCCAGGCCGATGGATAGGACAGACACGTGTGTACCACTTCTGGTTTAAGCCAGCGGGAACGTGTTAAACTCTGT